AACTGTTATAAAATCTACTCCACAAGATGTTAGAGTTACCACATATCTTATGCCTTGCAGTCCTGTTGTGAAACGCGTTTCTTCAACTTTGCTCTCTCCAAAAGTACTGGAACTTTATTGCATCAATATGAGAATAAAGAGAGAAAAAAATACATGTTTCAGTCAGATGGTTAAAAATAGGGAGGAAAGTTTTCTTGGTTGACAATTTGTCATTTTGTATGTATTTTACTTGGGGAAAGTGGTGGATATGATGCCTTGATAAGAACTTGACTAAAACAGGAAATGCGTGCGTACTTTCTGCCAAAAATGTGGAAAATTGAGTATCTTAAGGCTAAATCAAAGGATTTTAATGAGATGTTTGAAGGAGGAGAGGTAAAGCAACTTGTTTCTACTTGAGAAGAGCAATACCTTTTAGAAAAATATTAATTAACGCAATATTGACTGTGATGTAATTCAGGGAGTAGGGGGGTCCAAACTTTAAAACCGTGCTTGTTATTATGATAACCTACCAACGTTAAAGGTTATCCTTTGATATATCTAATACATCTATAGATGTAGCTGTCTCTACTTACACCAAAAGCAAAACTGTATTTAACACCATGTCAGTCCAAACGTGGGTTGCTAAAATACAGTCTCTTTGCATTCCATTAACTTTGGCTCTTGTGTGCTGGCTGCTGGATGTTATGGAGAGCAGCGTGAAAAGGTAGAGCCAGGGCAGGTAGAAAAGGGTCATACTGGTGACCAAGATAAAAGGAATCGGTGGGCATAGGAGGTATGGCTAGGAGATGTGAATGCAAATACAACTGTATAGAGCCTGGAAGGTGAAGACGAGGAGCTTAACCTCGATGTAGAAGCAGAAAGGGAGCCAGCAAAGGCATTGGAGGAGTAAAGCAATGTAGGCAGAACAATGAGTGAGGATTTGGATGGCAGCATTTTCAGATAGCTGGTGAGAAAGAAGTCAATAACTGGAAGCCCCTGAGTGAGTGTCTGGCCTTTAGTCTCCGGAGACTTGTATCAGTAAGAAAACTGCACAGGGTGGTTAGGGCTGAGGTTGGGGTTAAAAAAATAAAATTCCCAGCATGTTAGAATTCATCGGAGTCTGATTGCACGGCAAAGGTGGGAAGCGAGTGACGACTGCCTGACTTGTAACCAGCTGACTAGAAGCCCTGGGGTGTGGGAGCTTCAAAGATTGTTTTTCTTCCTCATGTATGTATATACTCAGAAGCATTTCTGAGGGAGTTGCACTAATTAACTCTTCTCTCCACCCCCACCGTCTTAAATCTCAGCTGAGTACAGCGGCACCTATCAGAATGGGATATATGTGACACAAGGTCCTTGCTACCCAGGCCAGGCAGCCAGCTGTTCAGAATTTTGAAGCAGATGCTTGAGCCTGAATCTCAGTCATTTTGGGTGATTAGTGTTCGTAGCTAATGGAGGCCAACTTATTTGTCTGGGAAACTCCCAGTGACGTAGAGACACTTACTCTATGTGGGTTCCTGTTTAGCAACCTATAGATATGGCATGCTGGAATAGTCCTTCTACGTTAAATGATTCTTTTCTTTATTCTTTCAAGTGCTCACTGACCTCATTTATATAGTATTTCACAGGGTACATCTGGTTTTGGTTGTTTCATGACTCAGTGTTCCAGTTTGAAAACGCAGTGTTGTGATTTAAAACATCGTGTCAGGACAGTGATATACAACTACCTATGACCTAAATGTTGTTGCTTTTGCTCTCTCGGGCACCGCTCCTGCTGCCGGCCAGGCTCCTGCAGCTGTGCGGGGTGGCTCACACCACACAGCCTGGCCAAGCGGCAGAGCCGCTGCTGGGTTTTTCATCCCCTTGAGCCTGTGTTTCCCCTGTGCTCCAACATGCTTCTCCCTCATGTCAAATATTCCTACCTGGCTATAGCTTTTGCTTCCCACTAGAATTTCTTGAGCTGCAAGTTGCCTTACACAGTTACCCTTTTCTTTTGCTCTAGTCCATTTTCTGAATTTGGGTAACTGGGCGTAGATGCACTCTCTTATTCACGTTAAGACAATTTGTACAGGTTACTGGGATAATGCTCTCTTATGCAGTACGACCTGCGGTCAGAATTGTTTTCTCTGGTGCTTGCTCAGCTTTTGTACTTTTCTGTTGAGTGCAAGTTTACATACACTGTCCAGAATCCTCTTCTCAAGCAGGTGCATTTTAGTATTTATCCAGGTTGTGACATCTGTCTCGGTGCTAAAAATGTTCAGGTAACTCTGCAGTTTTTTGACAGAAGAGTTAATGATAATAAGATGAATGATACAGTTTCTTTTTCTTCCCCTTCATTTTTTTTCCTGTAAAATCCTCGAGTTGCCCACACCTTTTGCGGGTACACTTCTGTCTATCAAAGATAATACATGTCATAATCTTACACACACAGAGGAACACATTTGAATTGGAGCTGAGGAACTCTGCTTAAATGTGTCACTAAAATGATCAAACAATACTCTCATCAGTTTCAAGATGTGTTGTCAATTTATGTGGTATTTAACGCTAATATTATTGTTCAACATCATAAAATCACTTTTCTAGAATTTGGTAATTGATAATAATTTGGTTTAAGGCAGAAACACTTACTGGAAATTTGCTTGCGTTAAGTTACTACTTTAACTTAAATAACTAGGAGCTAGAGAAGGAGTGAAACTAGACTAGAATATAAAACATATTTACTTAAGACCCATGTAATGATTAAAAGTGAGAAAATAAGGAAGCTCGCTTAAGGAAGCTAGCTTAATGAATATTAATGCTTTGTTCTGCTGTTTTACACTTTTGTCTTCTGCTCTTCTATTGAGTTACTTGATGGTGCATTTTACATCAACAAACGTGTGCTCATTTTTAAGTGACATTTGAAAAATCATAAAAATTAATGACTTACAGGTTTTGTAGAGGATGAGATTAATGACATCATTTTAACAGGCAATATTTGATACCCATATGCACTGCTTGCTTTGCTAAAATTTTAAGAGATGAAGGCTACCAGCTAGATAGTATTCTCCTCAGAGGGACATCACAAGTAAGATCATACCTACTCATTGCATATTTGCTGATCAGGTTAACAGAAAATACTTCTTTTTTCCCAGGAGAGCAGGAGGGAGCAGGAATTCTGAGTTTAGTAAAAAAACCCACACAAACAAACCCGTTGTTAAATATTTAGCTTTGTGGGAGAGAGCAGAGGTGCCATATATGCCTATGTAGTCACTTCTATGTATCTCATTATCTACCAGAGCAATCAGAGGTGTGCTTTCTGAGCTTCATGGAAAATGATGACATGGGGGAATTTGATCAAACGGAAGTATACTAACTTTTACACAGCCCTGGAAAGACCATCTTGCAGAAGGAGGATAAGTTATGCCAACGTTTAATGGCTTCTTTTTGTTCATTGTCCATTTCTTCTGTAATTTTTAAGGTAATGATTGATATTAATTAGCACATGCTCAAAAAAAGAGACCTTTTTTTCTGGAACAAAAACTCAGGGAAACAAAATAGTTTTTGTGATTTGCTCCTTGGAAAGCTAAATGCAGAATGACAGCTTTTATAGCAAAGTTGTGCTGTGCAGAATGCTAGCACTCCGGGCCAAGTTGCCAGCGTTTCTCAGAACCATTTGGCCCATGAGTTCTAACTTTATTTCGGGGTGTCTGCTCACAAACAGAACAGTATTTTCAGGGTCTCTGGGCTAGCTATCCAGTTAAGTGTTTGTGAAATCTAATTTTTAAAATGCTGTTGCAGAAATTGATACTGAAGAATTCCTAAGATACGCTTTTGTGGCTTAGTTATTTTCTGATAACTAATCTCGAGGAATAACATTTGGGCATGCGGAAGGCAGAAAAGAACCTCTGTCAGCTTTTTCAAGAAAAACAGGTGAACTGCTTTTATCGTGATAAAATTGCTTAACAGTAAAGCTAATTAATACAACCAGATATTAATTTTCACAGGTCATTCCCTTGTTCTGATCCTGTGCAAAAAGCTCCATACTGTCAGCTTGTAGTTCATAGGTTGATGCTGAGAATGCTGGCTCTGTTCCTGGTATGTTTTTGCAGGTGAAGTTAAAATGGCCACGAGTGCAGCACACCAGTTTTTTAGGACCATATTCTTCTTTATCACCTTAACTGCTAATCAGTGGCAGAGAGTGTTTGTGGAGAATCTAAGGAGCCAGACTATAATGTAAAGTCAGTGATGTTACGATGAGGCTAGAGCCTTCAGAGTGAATGGGAGAAGGCAAAACATGAGGATGGCTGTCATTGCGTATGGTTTAGTGGGGGTGGGGGGATGGAGCTGGAAGGGTCTGTTAATAAGAGAGTAAGAATGCTCTTCAGGGTCTTTGTAAGTAGGATTAGCTCCAAATCCCACTGATGTCCTTTATTACTACTTCAGCACCATTAGAGAAATGGGGTTTGGTTCTGAGATAAGATCATCTGCATATCTATGGCGTCTGCTTCTGTATTGCTCTAGATGTACTTGGGTGACAAAATTTCATTAATTTTGGGACTGAAGGATCAGGCAGCTCTTCAGAGTCTGGTATCTGCTTTTCTTAGGTGACCTCTGGCATACGAAAGTTTTATGTTTGTTGGTGGAACCAAGCGATAACATTCCTCTGTGGGTAGAGAAGGGCTTATTTCTTCTTTATCATTTCTATTTGGAGGTTTTTTTATCTTGCTTGATTGACAGAACATTGACATCCTAAATATTAATCTACTTTGTAAAAGGATTTGAATATGAACACTTCTTTTTTCTTTCCCCTGTACAATCTAGTCATCTCCATTAAATTTTTGTCCTGAAGTATATCCAGAGCATCGTAAAATAGCACTAAATGCATTGACTACCACTAATAAAGTGATTGATTTCTTTCCTGGAAAACAACTTTGGTGCTCTCGGTGGTGTTTTAAATTAATCCTGGTGATAGTAAATACATATTCTTCACACTTTGTTTATAGTATATTTGTCATTAATATTTTTTTTTTTTTTTTAAACAGGATTTATCTGGGGAAGGCTACAGAGACACTATTGGTGATGAACACTTTCATCTAGAAGGTATTTAAAGAACAAAATTTCTTGGTTAATATTAAGGGGTATTGGAGTAAGTCAGTGAACAAGTCTGTGAGAATGCATATATGAGAGTGCAGTTCTTGATATACTGATGAGTCATTTGCCTGGCAAAACTGTTAAGATGGGAATAGGGTATTTTTTCTGTATCTCCTACCACTGTCATCCTAGTATCAAAAAGAGTCACCCAGTTGTATCACAGGGACCAAGTGTTTTAATTCAAGATCTCACAATTTTTTTTCCGGGTACTTCTCTTGACAGTGGTGGTAGTAGTGAATATCACTGTCCCCAGCAGAGGTGGTAAACGCAATCACTGAGCATTGGGTTTTGTGATACACTGCACACCCTTCTGTGTTACACAAGCCAAACTCCTGCATTAATTTCTAATAAAGACCAGAGACTCTTACTCAATACATTTCTCTTGAATATGGATGGAATCGTTATTGCCTCAGATAACTTCTTCCTAAGGCTTATCTCATCTCTTCATCTGTGATCAGGCCTCTCCTTGCAGTGGAGGTGGTATCATTGTTGTGGTAGGAAGGGCCTTTGGGGAACTTGAGTGTGGACGCTGTATTCTACGTACCAGAGGACACATCAGACGTAACCTGAAGTTCAGTTGGGCAAATGGGGATTGATGAACAGAAAAGGTTAATTTGAGGACATTGTTGCTCATTATTTTAAAAAAAATCAAAGAAATGAGACTTCAGAAACTCTCTGGGAAACCCTCTAGTATAACAAGAGGTTGCATGGGCTGTGTGCTAGATTGATATTATAGGCTAGTGGAAACAATATGCCCAATTTATGTAGAGCAATGAACCATGTCAAGCTTAACTTAGAAAGTTCTGTCCTTTTACAATCCAGTCATTCGTTTCTGGTGGTAGAGACTTCTGTCTAAACAGAACTCGAAAGATTCTCTATGTTAAGAATGTCTGTTTTCCAGTTCCTTACCTATGAAATGTGTTAATATACTGTGTTTCTTGGATCCCATGTTTCTGTCATGTCTTTAGTTTACAAAGAATATTCCCTCATATGTGCCCGTAACATAGGAGCTCAATTTCAGCTAATGCGTGTAGGCTACTGTTAAACACAAAAGCAAGATATACTTGCCATGATGGAGTCAGTGTTTGTTACAACTGTTTCAGTATTTAACTTCACCACAGTTTTCCTTTCTGCTCATAGTAGGACATAACTCTAATAAAGGATGGCTTTTTAATTTTCAGAATTATAGGACAATCTACATAACAGAGGATATTAAATATCAGTGAGGTGAATAATTTCATTTTTCTATGTCTCATTCTACCTTTCCTTGCCTCTAATTATTTCTTACTTTGTTGTACAGAATTGTCTTGCATAGCAAACATAATATCCAATATATATTTCCAAACTAGTCAGCAGCAGGATTGTGTTTATTAGACTGTAAAACCTTTTAGGCTACTGTAATTTCAGTCTTTCAGAAGTTTTACATTATTACTTCTGATGCGTCTCATTTCGTCTGAAGTAGCTTAGTAGTGAAAACAAGATTTAGATACCAGCAGGTGGTCCTTTCACTTGTGTGCTGCCACTGGGGAAGAGC